TTATTATTTTAAATTTTTTATTATTTACTATTTTTCTTTTTGTTCTTTATTATTAATTTTTATTTTTTCACTTTCTGTGATTATTTTTTATCATTAATGTTTTTATTAGTAATGTTTTATTATATTTAATTTTATTTTTAATTTTATTTTTATTCATACTATTCTTATTCTTTTATTCTTATTATTTATTTTAATTTTTTTTTTTGCAAAAATTGTTTTTATTTTTTTATTTATTGTTTTTCCTGTGCCTTTTTCTGGGATTCCTGACAGTGACAGTGACCCTGGGCTGTCTGTGTGTGTGACAGTGACAATGACAGTGACATTGACAGTGACATTGGGTGTCTCTGTGTGTGACAGTGACCCTGGGCTGTCTGTGTGTGTGACAGTGACAATGACAGTGACATTGACAGTGACAGTGGGTGTCTCTGTGGGTGACAGTGACAATGACAGTGACAGTACCCCAGTGTCTCGATGTTACAGTGACAATGACAGTACCCCAGTGTCTCTGTGTGACAGTGACACTGACAGTGACAATAACAGTGACAATGACCCCGGTGTCTCTGTGTGTGACAGTGACATTGACAGTGGCACTGACGCCAGTGTCCCTGTATGACAGAGACATTGGGTGTCTGTGTGACAGTGACAATGACAGTGACAGTGCCGTGTCCCTGTGTGACAATGACAGTGCCAGTGTCCCCTGTGTGTCCCTGTGTGACAATGACAGTGACATTGACAGTGGCACTGACGCCAGTGTCCCTATATGACAGAGACAGTGACATTGAGTGTCTGTGTGACAGTGACAGTGCCAGTGTCCCCTGTGTGACAGTGACAGTGACAGTGCCGTGTCCCTGTGTGTCCCTGTGTGACAGTGACAGTGCCCCCTGTGTGTCCCTGTGTGACAGTGACAATGACAGTGCCATGTCCCATGTGTGACAGTGACAGTGACAGTGCCATGTCCCATGTGTGACAGTGCCGTGTCCCTGTGTGTCCCTGTGTGACAGTGACAGTGCCGTGTCCCTGTGTGACAATAACAGTGACAGTGCCGTGTCCCCTGTGTGTCCCTGTGTCACAGTGACAATGACAGTGACAGTGCCGTGTCCCTGTGTGTCCCTGTGTCACAGTGACAATGACAGTGACAGTGCCGTGTCCCCTGTGTGTCCCTGTGTGACAGTGCCGTGTCCCCTGTGTGTCCCTGTGTGACAATGACAGTGACAATGCCGTGTCCCCTGTGTGTCCCTGTGTGACAGTGACAGTGCCGTGTCCCTGTGTGTCCCTGTGTGACAATGACAGTGACAATGCCGTGTGTCCCTGTGTGTCCCTGTGTCACAGTGACAGTGCCGTGTCCCTGTGTGTCCCTGTGTCACAGTGACAATGACAGTGACAGTGCCGTGTCCCTGTGTGTCCCTGTGTGACAGTGCCGTGTCCCCTGTGTGTCCCTGTGTCACAGTGACAGTGCCGTGTCCCTGTGTGTCCCTGTGTGACAATGCCGTGTCCCTGTGTGTCCCTGTGTGACAATGACAGTGCCGTGTCCCTGTGTGTCCCTGTGTG